ATATCTACATGGGAATGGCTCGCATATATTGCTTTTGTTACTAGATCAGCACAAGAACTGTGCTTTAAAAAATACGACTTCCAGAACCAGTTTAACCTTGCTGGTTAATCAGCATTTAAAAGCTGTTTCTAACCATACATTAGGATTATTAAAAAATAATAATAACATGGGAATCTTATTTGAATAGACATCCTAGAGGTAATTATGCTGAACTAGATCTGTATCTTGCAATATATACAGTGTTTAAAGGCAGCTATAAGGAGGCAGCATTATCACTTGACTTAATCCATTCTCTGGAGAGGAAGCCAATAGCCGCTGAACCGGTACTAAAGGCTAAATGTCTGTCACCTGTTTCTCTGTGCTGTCATGCTTCTGAGGCATGGAGCCAAGGTTGTTTATTCCTGGATTTCTGCCAAACTTGTGTGCAGTAGAATACCCACAGAGCCTGTTGCTCAACCACCTGGAGAATGGACAAGGCATTCAAGAGGGCAGAGGAAGCTTTGCACTTCTCTTTTTTTCCATTGGCAAGCTGTAAATAAATTTTTTACATCTTTATAAGACAGCATTGCTGTATTCATGTATTCAGAATTGTGCTCATATAAATGTGGAATAAGCCATAATAGAGAAGATACTTTGGAATCTTATTGGAGTTGTAGCTTTTTTTAATTTAATTTTTCAGAGGCACAAAAATGGTGAGTTAATATGGTTAGCTAATAGAAGTGCCAGAATGGAATTTACCTTTCTGGATAAACAGAATTTAAAACTACCTTCCATAAACTGCCTCAAATTGCTTGGTGTTTTTGTCAGGTTCTGACATGTTTTTATAGCACTTTTTTGAGGGAGAAATCAAACATAAATTTTGCTTACCTAAGCAATGGCACTCCCAAAATAGCACATAGTTTTTGAGCTTATCGTATTCTGTAACTCTACCTTATTATATGAATTCATCGTGCTTTGTAAGAATTAGAACTATTGCTTAGAAAAAGGCAATCTAACTATCTATTCCTGACAGCATCCCATAATACTTGATAGCATTATACAAACTATTACTAAACCAGCAGTTCTAACTCAGCAAGTCTTTCACTGATTTCAACCATGTATTTATTTTAACTAAGCCTTTAAACTAACAAAACTATTTATTTAAACTATTAGAATTCATTTATTCTACTTTCAATGATAAATAATGATTTTGCTAGATTCTTTGCTGATTTTTGTCTCTGGGTGATTCAAAGATCTCAAGTCTTGAGTGAAATTTGGTAATGTTTCTATATCCTTAGGCATCTTATTCTTAGGTGTGGATGTTTCCCAGATGAATGGAAGGGTACCTAGAAGGCATCAGTAAACAAAATTCTGAGGATATAACTGAAGGCCACCAGCATGTCTTTGTCTGAGGAAACATGGCAAGATACTGCTGACATGAGTGAATCTTGGTTATATGAAGTCACGGGCACATAAGTAGAAAATAAAGTTGTTTGAAGGCAAACCAGTTGTAGGTAGATGTAGTGACTGGGCAAGAACTTAAGTGCCACTGTTAAATAGTCAAAAGCATTCATCATTCTCTTCTGCCTTCATTGGTACCTATTACTTAGGTGATAAAGATTAACTTAAAGCTGGGAATAACATGAGCTTTAGGAATAAGAATCAAAGAACTAATAAAATACGTCCTACTGCAAAGGTTTTGATAAACAAGGGACAAAACAGTACAAGGGACACTCTTTAATCGCATTGTCTGATCCGTTTGAATTTCTTGTAATGTTTCTCTGGTTTCTGTTTGATTTTTTAACATGAAATGTGAATTAAAACCAGTTGTTCTTTCCCCTCAGCCCTGGCAGCAGAGAAGGATGGCACTCCTGTTTTTAAGTTCCCCCGGTGGAGAGCTAAAGGCAAGCCTATCCAGGAAGTAGTTGCAGCCTACAAATCTGTTGGAGCAGAGCTCAATGTCCTTCCATTCTGCACGCAGTTCATCCCCATGGATGTTATTGACTGCCCCAAGCATGGCTCAATAATTTACCACCCATCCATCCTACCACGCCACCGAGGAGCTTCTGCAATCAACTGGTGAGATTTTGTAAGAAGTTAATCAAAACTATGTGTATGTCTCATGTTAGGTTGTTGGGTCAGACCAATTACCCATGTGAGTGCTGGCACTGTTCCCAACTGCCTTTCAAATGAAGAAATTCCTCTGATGCAGCTGAGCTTCATGAATAGGGAATGATTGTTCATTCTTTCTTTCCTTCTTTCTCTTTAGAACAAATAAGGGGGCAACCAGCAAAGAAATTGGATAGTAGGATTTGGCTGAATAAAGGAAATACTCTTTTTTTTTTTCCATACAATTTGCTATTAAACTGCACATCTAGAGAATTTTAGAAGGAGGAGACCTGGAAAATCTTAACTGGACAAAGTTCCTTTTAAATTTGAAGGCAGATCCTGAGCTGATGCAAATCAGCAACAGATCGGCTGTAAGCAGTGCTATGCTCATGCATACCAGCTGAGAATCTGGCTAGACTTAAATTCCTGTAATGACTTTTCCTTAAACAGTTGCACAGTAGTGCTGTGTTAAGCATCTGTCATTTTCCACTCTGAGTTTAGCTCTTTTTCAGCTGTGGGACAACTGTACTTTCCTTGCTGACCTATAGATAAGTGGTGAGACTTAGTTAATTATAGTAAATAACTATGAATATATACTATATACTGTTACTATATCCTATCTAGAAACAGACTACTGAAATATTCTTGTTTTGATGTACCCATCTTCCAAATCATGTCACAGCTTTTGCACACTTTTTGTTCTGCGTGTCTTACAACTGCTCATACGTTTAAAATAATTAGCACAATGTACCATGTGATTGACATGGGATTTTCTTCTCTTCTTTCTACCTAAAGCAAGTGAATGCATAACAGATAAGTTGATATTCCTGAGTGCTTTCATACTGTCAGCATTTACTGGAAGTTTTTTTTTTTTTTTTTATGTGCAGGACTTTAATTCAAGGAGATAAGAAAGCAGGGTTTACTATTTTCTGGGCTGATGATGGTCTTGACACTGGACCAATTCTTCTGCAGCGAGAATGTGATGTAGGCCAAAATGATACTGTGGATGACCTGTATAACCGGTTTCTCTTTCCAGAAGGAGTAAAGGCCATGGTATGTTTATCTGTGCTAAATATCAACATTTTAAAGGAAAAAAAATGTTGGAGTTTGAACATAAAGGTGATATAGATAAGACACACAAATTTGGAACTGACTGAGGTCTTCGTGCTTATCTGAATCAGTGATTTTAGTAGAGCTCTGATGCTTCACAAAGCTGAGGAGCTGGCTTTAAAATATTTGTTGCTGGCAGCAGGCAGCACGTCCTGTTTCCACAGAAGGCAAAAAGTCAGTTTTGCCTGGATTGTCGCTCTTTCTCTAGAGTTTTTTGATGTTTTTACAAGGTGGAAATTTTTAAAGGGTTAGAGGGAACAGAAAGTCAGGAGTAAAGATAAAGAAGAAAGAGGAATGGTGTTTTAAAGTTCAGCTGATTGTTTTGGATTTTGCACGCTCGCTTTTCTTTGTTCTGTTTTAAAATACATAAAAGAAAGCATATTAAAAATAGCAAGGAGTCTTAGAGATATTTTTTCTCTCTCCATTCTAATATAAAGAAATAGTTTTTGCAGAAGCAAAAGCGGTAAGAATTGAATATAAACACCCAGAAAAAAAATCTGCCTTCGTGTAAGTTCTGGACCTGAAGAATTTAGACAGCTAATCTGCATAGTGATTAGGCATTCCCAAGACATTTCTGAGGCTGTTTCTTTTGTTAAAGGAGTTTAAGAATACATATATGTAAATCTGTGCAATATTGGTCTCCCTGATTTTGGAAATCCTAGTTTTAAAAAATAAGCCAGTTGCTTTTATGCAATAAAATCTGTTGACATTCATAAAGATGACTAAGCAGAAAGTGAGTACCAAAGTAATATTAAATATGTTATTCTTCTACTTAGGTGGAGGCTGTACATCTAATTGCTGATGGTAAAGCTCCTCGGATACCTCAGCCTGAAGAAGGGGCAACATACGAAGGGATCCAGAAGAAAGAAAATGCAGAGGTACTATTAGATAGCAGTGTGTTTCATACACAATCTCTAGAGGAGGTATTACTAACTCAGATGACAGCAGTAGTGACTTCAAGTTAACTTGAGTTGTAACACAGTTGTTTCCTTACCCCGTGTTCCTGGGATAACTCCCACGGATGTATGTAGTAGAGCTCCAGGTGAAATTTATATTCCCTGTCAGCAGTTAAATATATGTATACAGAAACTTGATGTCCTACTTGAGATCATCTTTATGCAGCTAGATGGCAGCTGCTCATTCAGTGGATTCTTGAATGTTATGATAGTTATAAATACAGCATTAAATGAAATGAAGGTTGGTCTTATTTTTTTTTGATTGGTGTGTTTACCAGTGATTCATGCTGAATTCTCTACGAGAAGTAGACAAGGAGTATGTTTTTAGGAAAACGGAGCTGTTCGTACCTACCAGGAAATAAAAAACAGGTCATGAAAAAAAACCATAATAATAATAATAATTCAATAACTATATCATACAGGACTATATTATGTAACTACTCTCACTGGATGAGCTATGTAATAAAATTCTTACTGTTAGCTAGATCTTCTTTTTGTTTGGAAAGGCTACCATAAAATTATAGTGAATGCCATCTTTAGTACATTTTTTTCTTTTGCTAGAGCAGTGAAAGTGTCTGATAAAGAAGTCAAAAAAAAACTTATTTCATTTTTTTGTTTATGATAACAAAGTCCTTTTCATCATAAATGTTGCAATAGGAGTGTTAAAACTCCTGATGTACCTTATACACTTTTGCATATGGATTTAGATCATGGACCAAAATTTTGGGTGCCATATGCATGCTGACAAAGTGATAGGAACATAATACATAGTATGTATGAAGAAGCAGAACAGCTGAAGTAATCAACTCCTATCTATTCCAAAACACCTCAGAAAAGGAGCCTACGAAGAAGAGTTTTCATGGCATTACTGAAATCAAAAGAAGAATGAGTATGAGGACCTAACAACTCAAATAATATATGCAAAATTGCAATGAATTCCAAGAGCCTTAGTGACTTCTAATTTTTAATTTATGTACTTAATTTGTATCTGTGTTCCAAATGCTGTATTCATTAATATGTGCAAAGGTTTCTGGCAGTGAACTAACTTAATCTCCCTATTGTAAATCTTTTTCATTGGCTTATAACTTGCTTCTGAATATTCTTTGTGTTTAAACTAAGAAAGACACTGGGTACTTTAGTGTTTTTGTTTTTTGTTAGATATTCCAAAACATTATCTAATTCATTTCATACCTATGTTGCTGCAAAGTTAATGAAATACATTCTCACTGGTGTTACACCTGATACACAATACACATGGTGTTCTTAAGATCGTGTATTATCCAGTAGTTAGTAAATTCAGTAGTTAGTAGTTATTATGTAGTATCCAGATAATAGGAACAACTTAAGATGTTCTTACGATGATGATCTTAAGATCAATGATCTTCCTTTATTAGACCAGGCACTTTCTGTGTTCCTAAATACATAAACAGTTGAAAGAAAGGGAAGGAAAAATTCTCTTATATCAGAAAACATTAATAAATTGATTTATAACCAAACAGAAAAGAATTAGCTTGAATATCTTGATTTCACAGATCTCCTGGGACCAACCTGCAGCAGCTTTGCACAATTGGATCCGAGGTCATGATAAAGTACCTGGAGCATGGGCGAAAATAGGTGACCAGGTATGCTCTGGAAACCAGAAGGGCAGCCTTTTGAGTACTCTCCTGGTATCTGTTTATTTATTATAAAGGCTAAAGGGGATTGCATGCAGATGAATACAGTTGGGAGTTACTTTGGAGTGGCTCTCTTGGATGCCTGTATATTTTGTATAAAACTAGAACAGACACCTAAACAAGTGTACAGAACACAGCAGATACATTGTAGCTAGGATTTCCTGTTGGGTCCATTTAATTCGAAGAAAGATAAAAGCAGTATCTAAAAAAAAAGGGATGGAAAAAAAGCAGTAAGTAGGCAGGATAGAGACAGCCTATGCCATTTTAGTTGAGGAAGTAGTGTGTGTTACAACATGTAATGCAGTGCATGCTTTACACTGAATTGTAGGATGATTAAAGTTGGAAGTGACTTTTGGAGATAATCCAGTCCAACTGCCCTGCAGTTACCTAAGGTCATCTAAAGCACATTGCACAGGGTCGCATCCAAGTGTGTTTTGAATATCTCCAAAGAAGGAGACTCCACAACCTCTCTGGATGACCTGTTCCAGTCCTGTCACTCTCACAGTCAAGAAGTTTTTCCTCAAATTGAGATAGAACTTCCTGTATTTCCATTTGTGACTGGTGTCTCTTGTCCTATTTCTGGCCACCACTGAAGAGTCTGGCCCCATCCTCTTGATATTCTCAATTACAGTATTTATACACACTGATAAGTCTTCTCTTAAGGCTGAACAGGTCCAATTCTCTCAGCCTCTCCTCCTAGGACAGATGTTTCAGTCTCTTGATCATCTTTGTAGCTCTGTGCTGGACTCTGTCCCCTGACTCCACATCCCTCTTGTACTGGAGAGCCCAGAACTGAACACAGTACTCCAGATGTGATCTCAACCAGGGCTGAGTATAGAGGGAGGATCAACTCTCTTGAACTCCTGCCAAGACGCTTTCTAATGCGCACAGGAGATCTTTGGCCTTCTTTGTCACAAGGGCACGTTTCTGGCTCATGGTCAACTAGTTGTCCACCAGGATGCCCAGGTCCTTTTCCACAGAGCTGTTCTCCAGAAGGTCAGTACTAGGGCCTGGGGTTATTCCTCAATAGGTGGAGGACCCTGCACTTGCCCTTGTTGAACCTCATGAGGTTCCTATCTGCTCAACTTTTCCAGCCTGTCAAGGCTGCTCTGGATGGTAGCGCAGTCCTCTGGTGTATCAGCCACTCCTCACAGTTTTGTATCATCAGCAAATTTGCTGAGGGTGCTTCATCCAGGTCCTTGGTGAATAAATTGCACAGGATTGGACCCAATACTCACTCCTGGGGGACACTACTAACTAGGCCTCCAGCTAGACATTGCACCACTCACTGTGCACTCATCTAACCCACATTCCTTGTGCTACAGTGAGCAACATCACAGTACAACTCATAATGCAGCACTGTAAGAAAAGTTATTTTATTTATTGTAAGTTATTTCAACAGTTTGAAGAGCTGTGCGCCTCAGAGTGCCAGAATCATTTGCAGAAAAAAAATACATCTAATTTTATTACATTTTACCCCAAAACAACAACTTCATTTCAATTTTGAAAAAGCACTGTGCCTTGGATACACGCTTTCTCTATGTAAAACATTAGTAAAATCATTCTCTTTCCTGGCTGTAAGGTCCAAATTTTGTCATTTAGCCAGCTTACTGATAGGCTCCTGCAGAGGCCTGGCTCTGCACCTACTGGCTTGAGAGCCCCAAGAGCAGAGAGGAGCCCAGGCAAGAGGCAGCACTCAGCATGGCCAGACTGGGAGCTAAGCAGGACGTGTCAGAGCAGCCGG